TTAGACTAAAATGCCGGCAGTTCTGACTCACGTAAGTACGTTTTCATTTAAAGGATTTGCCATTGATGATTCAAACGCGAGTTTTGAGCAGTGTGGAGTAGCACTTGTTGTTTGTAATTTCTCTGATCACAAATGCAGACATGGCTTTGTTTACGCGGCTCGATGCAATTCAACGCAACGCGTAAAAAGACAGTATAAGTCATTATAATCAGTAATTATGTCCCCACTGGATGCAACAAATGGCTCGTTTGTAATGGGTTTTAATGTTTTTGTCTCGTCGCTCCGGCCGGGACACGGCATCAACAGTATGGTGAGGGGCGTAACATTTCCGTCACACACTTGAGGTATTCGGCCAATCACAACGCACTGGATAGCTGGCCAATCACAGCACACCTCGCTTTTTCAGACCGATGAGCTTTGTAAAAATCGATGCGTTTCAAAAAGGCGGGGCATAGAGGAGAATCAATAATGTACAGTATGTGGAAAATAATGTTTTTTTTTTTACTTTAAACCGCATAAACACATTTCATTACACCAAATACTCAAAATATTGTTCTTTTTAGCAGCATCATATGACCCCTTTAAAATATGCACTTTACATATTAAGCATACTGTGAATGTATTGAAGAGATACACCCTAAAATGTTTTTGTCATTATTTATTCTCTTCATGTCGTTCCAAACCTGATTTTCTTCGGTGGAAAGAAACAAAAGAAGATATTTTGAAAAATTCTGTTTTCTCCAACAAAGTCCAAAGTTATTTAGACTCAAACTAAAATATTTTGTTTTCTTTTTGCACAAGAAAGTCGTACAGGTGTGGAGCAACATGAATAAAAATGTTGAAGTAAATGACAGACAGTTAGCGAACACAATACTGACTTTCTTTAATTGTTGCGCATTTGGGCGCATCTATCAACACGTCATGTTCCACAAGCATATTTTTATATGCTTCAAAGAACAAATGTCTAAAGATGCCGCACAATAATGTATTGCATCTTAGTTCGCCGGCTTTGTAAGTATCACAAGCGATTAGAAATGAATAGCCTGACGGCACGTCTGGCTCAGCACTTGGCTGAACTGTCTGTCAACTGATACATCTGAAAAGGAAATACGTTCCCACCCAACAGGGTGGGGTGATTGAGGGAAATGTGCACTATGCTTAAATTAGCATGACTATCATACAGTATGTCTGTTAAGTTCAAGAGAAAGTCAGTATGTGTATTTTTAAGTATGTATCTGATGCAAGACAAAGTATATTGAATCAAAACGTGTAAATATGTCTTTCTTGAATCTGAGGCTTAGTACCTAGTTTGTTTTCATATGTATGAAAAACCACATACATGTTTCTGAATATGCTATTAGTCAGAATATTTGTGTACGATACATGTTTGTAATATGTAAAATATGTTCATTCTGAGCAGAAATATGAATGCAAAATTGAAAATGCACTTTTAGCATTAAATTTACTTTAACTGTTTGGTTAAAGATCTTTTTCACAAATTTTGACTCTAGTTGTCTGGTCTGCAACTCTGTGAAATTATATTACATTGAAAAAAATATGTTTGCATATTTTTGAAATTATGCAGGTGAATATTGTGTAATCTTAACAGACAATACCTGACTACTAGAGATAAAAAGGTTAACTTAACTAAAAATTTTCTCTATAAAAAGGTTAAAAACATAAATGGATCATATCATCCTGGTCCTGTAGTTTACTTTGTGTCCATTACGGTAACATTTTATTGTTCTTATGTCATGAAGTAAATTTTTTTTTTTCAATTAAATAAATTAGCTAAATAAAGTTACTAAATACACACTGCTACACCACACAAAACACTACTATCAACATTTGACATTTTGTTCATTCAACTTTCCTACATCTCACCTCTGAAAAACAAAATAAACAATCTCTATAAAGATAAAAGAGCAACCTTATATTTAAACACACATTAAAAATGTAATATGATTAGGTTTGTTTATCACTAATCCTACTGCATGCCAATTTCACTATAGTTTACACTAAGCAAACAATTTGTATATTATTAATTTATACAAAACATTAAATTATTATATAATATGGGTCATTCTCAAAATATGCACAAAAGACCAGGGTTATTTTAGTATAATTGAGATAGAAGGGGTGTAATGGTACACAAACATGATGGTTCGGTACGTACCTTGGTTTTAATGTCACGGTTCGGTATGAACTGTTATAAACATAACATTGCCTTTGTTATAAAACACTGGTTTAAATAGTGGTTTTGCATTCACTTCTAAATTATAAAATTTCTCAGAAGTTTATTCAGAGATCTGTCGCACCAAATCGGCATTTATTGCCTGAATTTTCTTGAAAAAAACTGACAATTTGAAAAATTAGACTTTGTTTCTTATCAAAATTAACAATATATAAAATGGGAAGTTCTAGTGAAGTTCCACTTGTGCAGCAGTTAAAACAATGCTGTAAAACCGAAAATTTTAGATACTATTGTAGTTATTATTATTTTGAATAATAAGACATTTTAGATTTTCTGTGTTCATTTTCATTTGAAAATTTTACACATTTTCCTGTTTTAATTTATTTTTTTTATGTCTGTAGAGTTTTCATTCAGTTTTAGTTTTTGTTATTTTAGTACATCAAGGTAAACTAAATGAAAATGAGACATGTTGCCTTGGCAAATAGCCAAAATAAAAAGTTTTTTTATGTCTTATTTTTGGCTGAAGTGTATTTTATTTCAAGTAACAAGTTTTAGTTTTACTGTAATAACCCTCCAAGAGACCTTGCTGAAACACAAATGTGTCTTACTTGTTGATTTCCTACAATCCCACAATGCTCTTACCCATTTCATGATACAGGGAGCCTTGTGTTAATGTCACCATCATTTTCTTTGGAGAAGGTTCCTCAATCTTCATGAGCTCATTACAGCACTGTTTCCACTGACCTACATAGAAAAGCACAGGCCGTTAATTAAAAGACAGGTCTTTTTTGTTTTGTTTGAGTGTGAGTGCATCATTTTAAACACCTGAGGACTTAAACAAAGGTTTCAGGGTAAATGTGAAAAATGGACAAACTAGACAGGTCCATGTGTTAACATTTAGAGGATCTAGGCCATAAAAAACATAATTCTTGCACGACATGTAATAAATGCCTAACATTAAAATACCTGAAACACAGCCATTAACAAGGATGCTTTTTAGAGAGGCACTACGCGCTTGTGTCAACATATTTGTGTAAGATATGTATCGAATTTCAAGCCTTCAGGAACACTGTATGTTAAACTTCTAAGAAAATCAGAACACCTGTCTCAGTTACTTTTCTTGTGACATACCAAACAGACCACATGCTTTTCAACTCATGGTGACACATAAGCCATGAAAAAGGATATAAGACTGGGCGAAAAAATGCTGAAAAGTACTAACAACAAAAAAAAAAAACTCTTGACACATAATAATCTCCTGACATAATTTCTCAGAAACCAAAACCGACTGCACAGAAACCAGTCTGATCAACTGCTTTAACGTATGTGTCGTTATTTTTTCAAAATGTGGCACTTGCGTAACATCTATACTACAATCAAAGATAAAGGTATTATTCAGAACATACACTGTATGCTTTCCAGTTGCCCAAACAAACAATAAATCTTATTCGATGTTGTGATTCAGTGCAGAGGAATCCAACTCTTTTGAACATGAATGTGCGAAGGTGTGAAATTGCTCAATGTCAAATAAATGTACATATACATTTACATTTACATTTATTAATTTAGCAGAGGTTTTACATCAATACATCAAGCGATTCATCTTAAAGAGCCAAATAGACACAGGAATTGCTCATAATACCAAGTTTCAAGCATTGTTAAAATAAGTACAAGCTAGACAGGGAAAGATTAAAGAAAAGAGAAAAAGTTTTTTTATTTTTTTTTTTAGGATGAAGTGGTGAGTTTTCAGCTGTCGCTTGAAAATTGTCAGGGAATCAGCATTCCGGATAGGGGTTGGAAGATCATTCCACCAGCCAGGAACGGTGAATGAAAATGTTCTGGAAAGTGATTTTGTGCCTCTCTGTGATGGCGTCGCTCACTAGTGGATCTCAGACTTCTGAAGGGAATGTAGATTCGTAATAGTGAGTGGAAGGCAGGTGCTGAGCCTGTGGCTGTTCTATATGCAAGTATCAGTATCTTGAACTTGATGCAAGCCGTAACCGGCAGCCAGTGCAAGGAGATAAAGAGAGGTGTGACGTGGGCTCTTTTGGGCTAGTTGAAGACCAGTCATGCCGCTGCATTCTGAATCATTTGTAGAGGTTTGACTGTGCATGATGGAAGTCCAGCTAGAAGAGCATTGCAGTAGTCCAGCCTAGAAATGACAAGGGCCTGGACACAAAGTTGTGCAGCATGCTCCGTTAGGAAGGGCCTGATCTTTCTGATGTTGTGCAATGCAAACCTGCAAGATCGAGAATTTTTTCTTTGAAAGTTAGCTGGTCATCAAAGATTACACCAAGATTTCTGACCAAACTTGATGGGGTAATTGTTGATGAACCTAGCTGGATGGTGAAATAATGCTGTAGAGTTGGAGTGACAGTGGCCTGTCTTTGCCAGGTTGAGCTGTAGGTGATGTTCTTTCATCCATGCCGAGATGTCCGCCAGGCAGACTAAGATCTGTGCAGCTACCGCTGGATCATCTGGTTGAAATGAAAGATAGAGAACAATAAATCTTATTCGATGTTGTGATTCAGTGCAGAGGAATCCAACTCTTTTGAACATGAATGTGCGAAGGTGTGAAATTGCTCAATGTCAAATAAATGTACATATACATTTACATTTACATTTATTAATTTAGCAGAGGTTTTACATCAATACATCAAGCGATTCATCTTAAAGAGCCAAATAGACACAGGAATTGCTCATAATACCAAGTTTCAAGCATTGTTAAAATAAGTACAAGCTAGACAGGGAAAGATTAAAGAAAAGAGAAAAAGTTTTTTTATTTTTTTTTTTAGGATGAAGTGGTGAGTTTTCAGCTGTCGCTTGAAAATTGTCAGGGAATCAGCATTCCGGATAGGGGTTGGAAGATCATTCCACCAGCCAGGAACGGTGAATGAAAATGTTCTGGAAAGTGATTTTGTGCCTCTCTGTGATGGCGTCGCTCACTAGTGGATCTCAGACTTCTGAAGGGAATGTAGATTCGTAATAGTGAGTGGAAGGCAGGTGCTGAGCCTGTGGCTGTTCTATATGCAAGTATCAGTATCTTGAACTTGATGCAAGCCGTAACCGGCAGCCAGTGCAAGGAGATAAAGAGAGGTGTGACGTGGGCTCTTTTGGGCTAGTTGAAGACCAGTCATGCCGCTGCATTCTGAATCATTTGTAGAGGTTTGACTGTGCATGATGGAAGTCCAGCTAGAAGAGCATTGCAGTAGTCCAGCCTAGAAATGACAAGGGCCTGGACACAAAGTTGTGCAGCATGCTCCGTTAGGAAGGGCCTGATCTTTCTGATGTTGTGCAATGATCGAGAATTTTTTCGAGAATTTTTTCTTTGAAAGTTAGCTGGTCATCAAAGATTACACCAAGATTTCTGACCAAACTTGATGGGGTAATTGTTGATGAACCTAGCTGGATGGTGAAATAATGCTGTAGAGTTGGAGTGACAGTGGCCTGTCTTTGCCAGGTTGAGCTGTAGGTGATGTTCTTTCATCCATGCCGAGATGTCCGCCAGGCAGACTAAGATCTGTGCAGCTACCGCTGGATCATCTGGTTGAAATGAAAGATAGAGCTGTGTGTCATCAGCAATGGTAGGAGAACCCATGTGCCTGCATGATGGGACCCAGTGATGCAGTGTATATGGAGAAGAGGAGGGGTCCAAGAATTGATCCCCGAGGAATCCCAGTGACCAGTTGATGTGCTTTGGATACCTCCCCACCCCAGGCCACCCTGAAAGACTGTAGCGTCTGGACCACTCAAACACAATATATATTTTGTTAGCTAGATTTAACAAATTCTCTGTAACACCCCAGGAAGCTGAACAGGCCCCTGATTCCATAGCAATGCTGACACCCGATACATTTACGACCTCCTGGAATTTAGGTGAAGAAAATCGCTTCCTTGCCCATAAGGAAAATCCACAAGGGAAGGACTTTTCTTTGCTAATTAATTAATAGGAAAACCTTTCTCTGAATGAACACACATGATCCTTCAGGTCATTGGGTATATTATTGCCATCGTGTATTTTGTCTTTGAAATTGTATACTGTGATGCAGGTTTATAATCGAAACACACTCCTGTCATCCTTTCACTATTTGTAATCCTACCTTGTCTAGTATCTATGAATTCGCCTTCTTATGATCGAAACAAGCGTGTATATTATATATTGGTACATAGGCAATATATATTAGGGTCCTGAGAATCTTTAGTAATTTCGATTCAAGTCCATTTGCAAATTACCATGCTTAGAAACAAAGGGTCGTAAACCCTCCAGCAATTGCCACCTCCCGCTCGGAAAATTTCCATCTTTCTCATTGGACAACCCCATCTTGAGAGGCGGGGATCTTCTCCGACCTTAAAGGCCCGGCTCCAGGGACCCTCCCAGTCGGTGGTTTGTT